GAGCTAAATAACCCTCGGAACGTACCTTGAGTTTTCAGATGTGCTTCCAGTGGTATCTTCGCCGTCGTTTGAGCGGCCGTCCGCGCTCCGTCCGGACGTCGAGGCTGAGCCGGGAGCGGTCGACGCGCCGGCTGGGCCTATGTGACAGAGACGGGATTGCAGGAGAACACGGTGTGGGGAACAGAAATGCGCGTGAAGGCTGAAGAGCGAGCGGGCCGGAACAACGGAACGTCTCACGTAAAAATATATAATTTTTAATTGTGATTTGAAGAACTCTTTTCTTTAATATTCATAATTTCGGCATGCAGCGCTCCGAAGCTCTCTGGAAACACATTCCCTGATTCCTCTCATCACTCATTTTACTTCCAACACATGCACACACCCCCCAAAAAAATAAAAAAAAATTGGGATTTGAACCGTTACCCATCCTGTTCTGCTGACGCTGAAGTTGTTCTTTGTAGCACACGGAACACAGCCCGGTCGTCCGAGGATTGCCGTAAAATCCGCAGCCCGTCCTACATGGCATGGGGCCCGGCAGCTGGTTCGTCTCCTGTGCCATTTCCCTGGAGGAAATAATAAACAAGGATCGCGTTAATGAAGCGGCGTTTTGCCCTAATAACAACCGCTATTTAATTGTTGGAACACTCAAACTCAACCCTAATAACAACAGCTATTTAATTATTGGAACGCTCATTCAAATAATTAATTATTTGAATGCTCATGAAAATATTTAATTATTTGCATCATCAATCTACCTCAGCTCTTTCTTGCAGACTGCGGGCACTTCCGAAAAACGACAGCTGAAACCTGACACTTAGGCACTGAAGTGTGTAAGCAGACCCCAAATTTACCCTAATAACATCAGAAAAGGAACACCAATGCGAACGAATTTAAAATCATTACTAAAACCTGGGGACTGAGGCAGCAATGGAGCTGGCTAATTAAATAAATACCTATTTGTCTGAAAGCCCTCAGCTAGAAAATGGACCGGGAGAAAAAAAAAAAAATTCAGAATGCCCTCAGCTAGAAAATGGACCAGAAAAAAAAAAAAAAATCGGAAAGCCCTCAGCTAGAAAAAGGCACGGGAAAA